TATTTGCGGAAAATTGTGAGAATTTGTTACTAGCTGAAAAAAAAGGTACAGCGTTAGATTGGCATAAGCGGCTTGGACATCCTGGCAAAGAAGTCCTAGACCTATTGCCGAGTATCGCTGACGGAAGAGAATTTGAAGGTAAAGGGAAACTTGACGAGCAGTGTGAAGTATGCATACAAGCAAAACAGAGCAGGCTGCCGTTCAATTCAGAGAGAAAAAGAGCAGAAAGGATACTGGAAATCATTCACACTGACGTCTGCGGGCCGTTCAACCCACCAACACATGATGGAAACAAATACTTTATCACGATGATGGATGATTACAGCCACTTAACTAAAACGTGTCTGATAAAACATAAAAGCGAAACATCAGAAATCATAAGAAACTATATACAAGAAGCAGAACGAGAAAAGAAAGAAAAGGTGTCGTGTATAACATGCGATAATGGTGGGGAATATAGAAGCAATGAATTTAGATCGTGGTGTCTACAGAAGGGAATCAAACTAGACTTCTCTATACCTTACTCACCTCAACTTAATGGTAAAGCCGAACGTTTAAACCGAGTTTTACTGGATAAAGTCAGAGCATTGCTGTTTGACTCCAATATGAAAGAAGAAATGTGGGGGGAAGCTGCTTATTGTGCTACCTACTTGCTGAACAGATTACCGAGTCGAACACTCAACAACAAAACTCCATTCGAGATGTGGTATTGAAGACGACCAAATCTTTCTAATATACATGCATTTGGAAGTGAAGTATATGCAAAAAAAAACTAGGTCTCATCGGAAAACTAGAACCGAGAAGTACAAAACTTAAAATGGTAGGCTACGCTAACAACGGATATCGACTCTGGAATGTAGAAAAGCGAAAGGTGGAAATACACAGAGACGTTGTGGTATTGAAAAATAATGAAGAGAAAGATGCTTGCGAAAAAACGAAATCACTTACAAACATAACTAACGACCTTGAAATTGATGAAATGGAAGAGGAGAGTCAAGAACGAAATGAGTTGCCAGGCATTGAACAAGGGGACACAGATGGAGATGACGACAGTGAAAACGTGAGAATAACAGCAGATGAAGAACCAGACAACGCAGGGTTGAGCGATAAGCAAAATACCAATGACCTTGAAAACAGAAGTGGCAGAAGAACTATAAAATTACCGGAGCGACTAAACGATTACGTGCTGCTGACATACCAAGAGATAATTGCCAATGAAGAAAAGGAAAACTGGGAGAGGGCTATAAACTCAGAAAAGGCATCACTCTTTAAAAACAATACGTGGAAGCTGGTAAACAAAAGGGAAGCAGAAGGCAAGAAAATACTGTCAAGCAAATGGGTATTTCGTGTGAAGGAAGACGGTACGTTAAAGCAAGACTCGTCGTCGAACAAAAGGGATTGGACTTCGACGAAATATACAGTCCAGTGGTGAGTCAATCTGCCATTAGAACTTTATTTGCTATTGCTGCATCAGCCAATTCTGAAATCGTTACTTTTGACGTAAAAACTGCATTTCTTTATGGTGAGTTAGACGACGACATATATATGTACATTCCCGATGGTTATACTAAAAAGCAGAATATGATATGTAAACTGAACAAAGCTTTGTACGGACTCAGCAGGCTCCAACTACATGGAACAAGACATTTACCAAAGCATTGCTGAAATTAGGCTTGATTCCAACTAAAACTGACCGATGTGTGTTTACAAATCCAAACAAAACTGTAATAATTGCTATATATGTAGATGATGGGCTTGCGATATTCAATTGTAAAGAAGATGCAAGTAAAATTTTAGAATGTTTAAAAAATAAATTTGAAGTAAAGGTTTACAATGAACCAAAAAATTTTGTTGGCTTAGAAATATGTAAAAGAGATACAGGCATAACATTAACTCAAAAAAGTTATACAGAAAATTTGCTTAAAAACTTCAACATGTTAAATGCGAAACCAACATGCATACCTTGTAATAGTGATAAAGAAAAAGAGACGGCCATGACACTACAAACAAATTTTCCTTATAGAGAATGTGTGGGTGGATTGCTGTATTTGTCTACAAGAACCAGACCAGATATTGCTCAGGCTGTAAACGAAGCAAGCAGGAAGGTAGAAGCACCAACGAATAGAGATGTTATAGCAATAAAAAGAATTTTAAAGTACTTGGTAGGAACTCTAGATAAGGGTATTACATTTAATCAATCTAAGAATGCATCAGTTTTGAACGCATATTGTGACTCTGACTATGCAAATGATGTAAAAACTAGGAGAAGCACGACTGGTTATGTAGTACTGTTTTGCAACGGACCCATTTCGTGGTGTTCCAAACGACAACCAATAGTTGCTTTGTTGCGGCAGATTGTTGTAAAGTACCTATGTATCTGAAATCACTATTAAATGAGTTAATTAATTGTAGGACTCATATAATTCTAAATATAGATAATCAAAGCTCTATTCAGCTGATAAAGACAGGATTGTTTAATAAAAGATCAAAGCATATTGACGTTAGATTTCATTTTATATACGAGCAGTATGCTAATGGAAATATTTCTGTAAATTATTGTCCTACGGAAAAGCAAGTGGCGGATATTTTAACAAAACCACTTGCAAAACATAAATTTGAATATCACTGTAAGAAACTAAATACTAATTAAACTAATTAACAAAAGAAAAAAAAAACTTTAACATGTGTATATGCATACATATACATACATATATATATATA